CTGGTGAACGGGGACATTGGGGCGCCTGGTGGTATCCACTCTTGATATGGGGCAGAGGCAGCTTCCAGGGGTCTCCCTACATCCGGGACTTGTCTACCCTTCCTGGGTTGGCTGGACTGAGCAGAGAGCAGGGAACTCTGTCCCCATCCTCAGCCTTCTCTCCCAGAAACTAGGCTAAAAGAGGCAAATTAGCTAACTTCCCTGACCACCCCGTCCCCGCCCCAGCTGGGAACTTTCTCTGAGGGGAGGAGAGGACTCTACACCAATGGTGGAAGCTTGGCCAATGGTGGCAGCCTGGGTCTACCCTTCTGGGGGTGCCTGGAACTGATGGCTGTGTCCTTTCCCCGGGCTGCCCTGTGACCTGGACAGACCCTTCTAATTTCAGCTTCCCTTTCCCTGGCTACAGGCTCCCTCCTCTTTCTCTCCTGTCCCTTCTCCTCCCTTCCTCCAGGCAACCAGAAGTCTCTTGGGTTTCACAACCCCGGAGCTTCCCTCTCTCTCCAGGTCTCCTCACCTCCTTCCTGCTCCGGCTACAGGTGCTGTGTCTCCACCCTCCCCCTGTTGCCTTGGCAGTCAGTGCTGCACTGGGCTTTCTTCTCTCCCTTCCTGAGCTCAGTGCACTGACAGGAGCGGAGGGCTCTCTGTGACCCAGCGGACGGGGGTTGGCAGCAGTGAGGCAGGACTGGGAACAGGGCAAGGGGCGCAAAAGCAGACTTCACGCTGGGTCCTCAGCCAGGACCCTCACCATTGAAGCTTCTTCCACGGTCGTACAAGCCGGGGCTCTGCAGGAGTCCTGGGTGCCAGGGTTCCCGATTTTATTTTGGGGTATACTTTTTCTAATATGTGTTGGGCAGGGATTAAGAAGTGGAATAGAAAAAAGAGGGCAAAGAAAATCTGGAAGATGACAGTTGGGCTGGTGAGGAGGAGGGGGAGGAGGGAAAAGGTGAAATGAATTCATTAGAAAAACTTGTTTACTGGTTTTGCTTAGGCGCCTCCATTTTAAAAGTCTACATTTACAATAAGTCGCTAATTAAAATACAAAATTAAGCAACAGCTATGTTTTTTTTTCCCTTACACTTTAATTGCATGATTTTTTGTGATGTAATTTCTGGAAACACCCAGTGTACCTCACGGGGCTGATTGTTTGATAAACTAGAAGCACCTGAAACCAACTCAAAAAATAAATATATAAATTCAAGGGGAACTTAAGGTAGATTGGAAATGACAGCGAACTGCAGACAGCAGGGAACCAAAAATCCATAATAATAATAAGAAAAAAACCTTTCTAAGTAAGGACGTTTATCCTGCCTACCCTGAAATCAGAACAATCTGTGCATCTCAGGGGGGGAAAAAAGTTGCAATGGAAACCAGACCAAGTGGGGTAATCACTCCCTATCCCCCTCCCCCAAGTTGGTGCTATGGAAAAAAAGCAAGACAATTTAGGATTTTCCCCAATTCCATTTCTAGCTGGGCTCGGTACTTGCTGGGGCTTCTTTCACCAGGGACCTTTCAAAGGGAGCTTCTTGGTCCTCCTTGTTCTGAACGTAGATGCGGTCCCAAGAGGGGATGAACGGGGCGGTCTCTGTACCCCCGGGAAAACAAGCCTCTCCGTGCCCACAGAGGGCGGGCAGCGCGTCCCAGGCTTGGGCTGCTGGCCCAGAGTTCCCGGCTCTTCCAGAAGGTAGTGGGAAAGAGTGATACAAGGTAGGAATGATGTGCGTTGTCTTTTTCAGACAGCGCTGTGGACTCCTGCCTTCTTTAAGATGCGGACCAGGGTGCTGATTGCAAAACGGCTGAGAAACCTGTCAAGAATGGACTCCAGGGTGGGGCTGGGAGGAAACTGGATCCCACTAGCAGCCTGGCTGCTGGAGAATTCCAGGCCCAGCGTCGTTGGTGGGCCCCGGGCCTCCTGAGTGCTGGGCATCTGGACAGGAGGAGGATGAGGGACAGAGGGGACCCGTGACCGCACTGACGTCTTTTTCCGGCCAAAAGCTAGAGGCCCAGTTGGCTGGGGCCCCCATAAGCCTCTCTCTGTACTCTCCTCCTGGGGAGAAAGGATTTGCTTCTTTTTAGAGTCTTTTTAAGAAATACATTTCTCCCTGATTATCTCATACTAATGGCTCTTTGGAAAATACAAACAAGTGTTAAGAAAACAGTTTAAAAATATGTAATGTTACATGTAAATATGTAATGTTGTACACATATGTATATGTATGTAGTTGTTAGAAGTGTGGGTTGGGGGCTGGCCTGGTGGCTCAGCAGTTAAGTGCGCACATACCGCTTCGGCGGCCCAGGGTTTGCCGGTTCGGATCCCAGGTGCGGACATGGTGCCGCTTGGCAAGCCATGCTGTGGTAGGCATCCCACATATAAAGTAGAGGAAGATGGGCACAGATGTGAGCTCAGGGCCAGTCTTCCTCAGCAAAAAGAGGAGGATTGGCAGCAGATGTTAGCTCAGGGCTAATCTTCCTCAAAAAAAAAAAAAAAGTATGGGTTAGGGGAACAGAGAGACCTGGGTTTGAACCCCAGCTTTGCCACTCAGCCGTGTGAGTTGGGGTAAGTTATTTAACATTGCTGAACCTCAGTTTCCTCATCTATGAAGTGGGGATTATGATCATATGCGTCTTGGAGGGTGGTGAGGACTCAGTGTGATGATCGATATAAAATATTGAGCACAGAGTCTGGCACAGAGCTCACTTAAACATTAACTATTTCTGTTATTGTAGTTAATAATGATTATTCCACTGCCTTGAGATAGTAGGCTTTTTAATTTTTTATTAAGAATTTCTTTTTACATCAGTGAAATTCTCTATCTAACCCTGTGCTGTCCAATACGGTAGCCTTTAGCCACATGTGGCTATTTAAACTTAAATTAACTAAAATAAAAAATTCGGTTCCACAGACATACCTGCCACATTTCTTTCTTTTTAAATTTATTTTAAAAATTAATTTTATTATTTTTTATTACAGTAAGATTGATTTATAACATTATATAAATTTCAGGTGTACATTATTATATTTCGATTTCTGTGTAGATTACATCATGTTCACCACCCAAAGACTACCATCCATCATCATACACATGTGCCCAGTCACCCCTTTCAACCTCCTCACTCCCCCCTTCCCCTCTGGTAACCACCAATCCAGTCTCTGTCTCTATGTGTTTGTTTGCTATTGTTTTTATGTTCTATTTATGAGTGAGATCATATGATATTTGACTTTCTCCCTCTGACTTATTTCACTTAGCATAATACCCTCAACGTCCATCCATGTTGTCACAAATGGCCAGATTTCATCATTTTTTATGGCTGAGTAGTATTCTATTGTGTATATATACTGCATCTTCTTTATCCATTTGTCCCTTGACGGGCACCTAGGTTGCTTCCCTGACACATTTCAAGTGCTCAGTAGCCACATGTGGCCAGTGGCTGCTGTACCGGACAGCACTGAAAGTTCTCCTGAACAGCGTCCTGAACAATAGAGTCATCTAAGTTTTTTCACTTAATTTCCTGCTTTCCATAAATATCTGTTAACAGCTGCATAGTAGTCCACGATGTGGCTGAATCACACTTCCTATTGATTTGAGTCTTTGTTCCTGGGATGTCGGAGCATCTTCTGGGCCCTGATTGGGTGTTGCCCGTCCTGGCACTGGCGTTGTGGTGCTCTCTGATTGGTGCCAGGCAGCAAGGGATTCTGGGAGGAGCAGGGCCTTGTCTGCTGAATGGCTCCCAGTGGTGGTGCCAGGGGAAGGTGGGGGAAGCAAGCTCCACCCTGACGGCCCTGGCATAGCGGGAGGGGGCTGTCTCCTTCCAGCCCCCGGTGTGTGGGCTCATCCCCACTCTTCACCTCACAGGGCAGAGACTGGGAAGAGGAGGCATGTGCTTGAGGAAGTAAAAATGAGCAATAGTGACTCACCCTCCACTGACCCGAGGGTCCCAGGTATACCTTGGAGCTTCCCAGGCAGCCCCCGGGAGCCCCTAGGGAGCAGGTGGCCTTTCTTGGTGGGGAGAGAATGCCATGGTGGGGGGCTGGCCTGGCTCCCCAAGGTCTGCATGGGCCTCCAGATCCTTGTGTAGGTCTTCAGGCTCCCAGGAGGGCCCTGGCTGAAGACAGTTGTGTGATGCCAGGGTAGGGGTACTGGGGTCCTAGGTCAGGGGACAGCTCCAGGAAGACTCTGCCATGACGGGTGACCATCCTGTGAGTGGAGTTGGTGGAGTGACTGTTGGCTGAAGTGATGCTGGGTTGTGGCCGGAGCCTCTTCTCCGCCTGGGCAGTCCACACCCTCCTCGGGTGGCCCAGGGCACAGCTCTGGGTCGGGGGCTATGGGCAGGGCAGGCTGGGAAGTAATCCCTGGGGCAGTGGGCAAGACAGATAGGGAGAGCCAAAACCGGACCTGCTGATGTGGCCCTTTCTGCTCGCAGCGGATCATAAAATATGGCTCAGATTTTCATTACGGGCTCTATCGATTATCTTCTGGGACGGATGAATTATAGAGAACATTAAATTTTTTTAAAAAAGCAAGTGAGAGAGGAAATATCTGAATGAGTTTGGGTGGTCGATGGCAGAAAGGGCTGAGCCACCAAGCCTGTGTGGCCTCTGTCTCCAAGCAGGGTGAGAACCAGACCGCTCAGGGCAGGCAGCCTCTGACTCCAGCTCTCAGCCTCCTGGGCCTCCCGCACCTCCCTGGGCCTGGCCTTGCATTAGGGGCAGCCTGTGCTCCCCTTGGCTGTGCCTTGTCCCTTCTAGGGATCTGCCTAGGTTCTGGGAAGGCAAACAGTTGGTTGTTCATGGGGTTCTGACCCAGAAATAGGACCTTTTCCAGGCTTTAGGCCTCTGTTGCTGGGAGGTGGGCCCCTAGCTCTGCTCTTTTTCCTCCAGGGAGCTTCTGATTCTTGAGGACATTGCTGGTCTCCTGGGGTCAGGACTGAGACGGGGACTCCTGAGGAATGTGGGCACCCAGGTCTGTTGGCCATCTCAGCTTTTCTCTGCTCCTTGTTCCTCCCATCCCCAGTCACTGGCTCAGAGGATTTCCGTTTCCCTTTCTAAGCTTGCAAAAGATGGGGTCCCACTGCTGTGCATCTAAGTCCTATCTGGAAAGAGAACCCCTGGAAGCCCATCCCTCCCTTGCTTCCTCCCCACCCCCTTCCTTCTCCCTCTCCTTGCCAAGCAGTATGGTGCATAGGTGTCAGATGGGCCTGGATTCAAATCACTTCCCAGTGTGTGACCTTGGGTGGGTCACATCCCTCTCTGCGTCTTATCCTCAACTATCCAGTTGAGATAATAACCTACCTCCTTAGGTTCTTGTGATGATTATATGTATTAATGTATTAAAGTCCTCAGTGTGTAGTGCTTAATAAACGTGAGCTGTTATTATTTTCCTCCTCTACAGAGTCTGGAAACCTTTCCTCTTTCTTTTCATTTGGCCTTTGACTTTGTTTATGAAATGGTTATAGTTCACACTGTGTGCCAGGTACTTTTCTCAGCATGCTACAAATAGTACATCTTTTTCATCCTCATGACCGTATGCGGGAGGAACTATTATTATCTCCATTTTACTGATGGGAAAACTGAGGCACAGAGAGGTTAAAGTAATTTGCCCAGGGTTACACAGCTTATAAGTGGCCACTAATACCTGGCAGTCTGGCTCCAAAGCTTATATATTAAGCCATTATGGCATGCTGTCCTAGTGATCTGGTGGGGTGGCATGTGTATGTGCGTGTGAGCATGTGCGCAAGCATGTGTGTGCTCACACATGTTCCAACAGCCCTGCCCTTGTGGTGGTTTCCATCTGACCCCTCTTCCTGACCCTCCACCTGATAGGGCTCCCTCAGGTCATCAGCAACGCGAGCATTTTCTGGGGCCCTGTTCTGGGTGGAGTGTGTCTCCCCACCCCCATGCCATCACCCCGGCTTCACCTAGGCTACTGTGAAAAGGTGGTGGTTTCCATGGATATCCGTCTCCCTCTGGAGACACGCCCTTTTTTGTATAGCTCTGTTCCCTGGAGTTGATTGTTTTTGGCACACCGCTCAGCAAACTCATCCAACAATTAAAAAGGGGGAGGGGTGGAACAAAAAGGGAGAGATAGTAAGTGTGGGCTGAGTGACATGCAGGAGGGGCCTCTGGGGTGTGGGTCTTCTCTCTGTCCCCTCTTGGCAGCAGGACAGCACCTTAGGTGTAGAAAGGCCACATAACCAGCTGGCCAGGAGTTTCGCTTCCAGAGTTCTGAAAATTCAGAACTCCACGTTTCCTTCCATTTGAGCTGTGTTCTTGCCCCGTTTATTTCTCCTTCAGAAATCTAAAGCCCATTCTCGGAGCCATCTCCAGAGGCCACCTGAAGCCGTGGGATGCCAGCTTGGACCGATTTGAATATTTGCCGCCCTTGTTTTGGTTAATTGTGTATGTGTTTGCTCTGCTTGTGTACCATCAAATACCTGGTGCGTTGGGCGTACCCGTCGTAGGCTGTGTGAGATCACAGATGAAAAATGCAGTGAAAAACACTTTCGTGCCACAACACATCATGTTGGATTTTTGTATTAAGATGTGGATTTTTTTATTGTTTTTTTTTTTCCTCCTTTTCCATACAGCCCTGAAGTTGGGCAATGCGCACGTCTGTGTTTTTGTTTTCACTCCAGGTGGTTTATGAAATCTGCTCATTAGGGCTCTGTCCTCTCCCCACCCAGGCCTGCTCTTCCACCTCTTTCTCCTCTTGGATGTAGATCTTTTTCCTCCACCCCCCCCCCCCCCCCCCCCCAGTCTCCTCTCCTTTGGAGGGATGATGGGTGCTCGCTCACATTCACCCAGGTGAAAATCAGGGGTTTGTGTGGGCCTGCTTCTCAGTCCTGCATCTCTGAAGCAGACGTTCATTGCAGTAGGAGATCCCGATGTAAGGGAGGTGGCAGAAATCTCTGCGGCCCCCACTGCACCCCACCCCAGGATAAAGCTCCCTAGCTTGCCCGTTGTCTGGAGAGAAGAAATGGAAGCTGTTCCACCCCCATAGGCCCTCCTGACTTAGAATGGCCCTCTCCTGAGTGGCCTTCTTGTCCCCGTCCCCTCAGATGACAGACAGCGATGGTTGGCTCAGTCCCTTCACCCTCCAGGAGGCCGTGCCCACAGCTGTGACCCTGTTTACCAGGGAGCTTTGGGGGTTCCTCCTACTCACCGGGTGCGCCACCATAGGCCTCGCCTTCCCCTACACACAGCCCAGCCAGAAGGAAGCACCTGAGCGCGGCCTTTGCCCCCCGCCAGTTGAGATCTCCGGGTGCTTTCTGGTGGCTCCACGGGCCTTGATGGAGACCCGGCTGGAGGGCAGGAGAACTGAGGTTCAGGAGGGGAAATAGCATTAGGTGTCGGGGGGTGCTGAGATCAGGGGTGGGGACGAAGAGGGGCTTTTTTTTTTATCGAGGTCACACTGGTTTATAACATTACGTAAATTTCAGGTGAACATCATATTTCAGATTCTGTATAGACTGCATCGTGTTCACCACCAAAGAGGAACTTTTAAGTGAGTTTGGCTTTGGAGCCCGTCAGCCCCGAGTCCAGGCCTGGCTCCAGCACTTGCGAGCTGTGTGACCTTTGGCAAGTCACTTTGTATCTCTGTGCCTGCCCTCCCTAATCTATCCACAGGGATCCTAATCCTTCCTACTTCTTATTATAAAAATTCGGTGAGATCACGCATATACAGCACTCAGCATGGTGCTTGGCGGATAGAAGCCATCCAGTTAATTAACATCATTCCTTCTCATGTAGATCTATTGGCAGAGGGTGAAAACCATTCAGGCAGGTGGTGTGCCCTCCACTCCCAGCATGCCCCCTGGCACATAGTAGGTGCTCAGTCAACTCATATTGGACTCAGTTGGAGGAGGATCAAGTAACTAAGAAGTCCTCCTGAACCTGAAAGTTATTAATTCGTGGTGCTAATGGAGGAGTGGGGAGAGACCAAGACGCAGGTTGGGGCTTAGGGGAAGTAAGCAGAATGGAGAGTGAAAATAGCCAATGGAGTGTTCTTTCGGGGGAGAGGGCTGAAGCTGCGCCAGGCCCATCTAATTCTGACATGAAATCAGGGACCAGTTCAGTTCCACAAACACTTACGCTACCCACTGTGGGCCAGCTGTTGTGCTAAATGCTGGGGATACAAAGATAATTAAGACCTGGTCTGTGCCCTTGAGGAGTTAAAAATCCAATGGTGGAGACAGATTCATGAGCAAATGACTTTAGTCTAGGATGGACTTAAATGCCACAATGATTGCTGCACCAGGAGCAGAGTAGAGGGGCATATGGGCCTGCTTGAGGTAGCTTTGGAAGGTTACCTTGAAGAGACTTGGAAGAAGAGGGTGGTGGTAGGTGAGAGCGTTTCTGTTAACAACTTTCGCATTTCTTGTTGCTCCCCCAGCACATCGGCTAGGTAGGCGGGAAGGAGGTGTTAGCTTCACCTGATGGGTGAGGACACTGGGCCCTAGGGAGATCAGGTGTCTTGTCCAAGGGCCTACGGTGAGTTAGTTGCAGAACTGGGACTCAGACCCACATCTTCTGATTTGCCACCCAGTATTATTCCTGTAACTGCGTGTGGCTTTTCACTCCTTCCCCCTGGAGCTGCTGTCCAGAGACCTCTGTCCTCTGGGCTCTGCACCTACTGACCAGGATTCCTGCTGCAGCCACGGCCCCGGGGCCTGGGCTGTGGGAGGGCTCCATCCATGGTACGCCCTGGGACCTGTGCCCTGGTTTGGTAAATGGGTCAGGCCACTTGGTTGGGGATAGTTCCAGAGCAAGGCCACACCCTGGCAGGGCTGGAGGATGGCAGGAATGGGGAAGACTGAGGAGGAGGAGGGGGAGGCCTGGCTACACCCTTTGTTCGGTTGCTCTTGCTGCCAAAGCTGAGAAGCTCCCTCTGCCCTGGGAAGGCCCCTCCCTCGGCTGGACCAGGCCAGACGAGGGCCCCACCAGGGCCTAGAACACCCTCTTTCCCCATAACTGGAACCCCCTGTGAACCAGGATGTAAGACCCTGGTATCATCCACACTCGCCATTTGTGTGTGGTCAGACGATGGTCTTTCCTAGCTCCTTGCCAGGATCAGGGAGATGGGAGAGTTTCTCTTGACCTTTTCTCTGGGCAAATGTGCATGTCTGGAAGGGGGAATGTCAGTGGCCTGTGTAAGATGCTGACTTTCAAGTGGGGCAGAGGTTGTTCTGATGGGATGTTGGAGTAGAGCCCCCAGCAGAAGAGTGCTCTGGAGGTGTGGAGCTGCAGGTGGTCCAAGGCACCCCTTCCTCTAGCTCAGAGATACTTGGTTGGTGGATGGGCTGCCCAAGGCTTTGGGGATTCCAGACCAACAGGCAGGGGTGTGTCAGAGCCCAGAGGAGTGAGTCTCCCAGTGGCCCTGAAGTTCCCATTAAAGTGTTTTTTCCTCTTTTTTGAAGAAAAAAATACTCCCAAACTGGAAAACAAAGGAAATCCACTTCCCCCAAATCACACGAAACTCACATTAGGGGCCTGGCGGGAATCCATGGAAACCAGGAAACCCGCTGTTAACCCTGTATAGTGCTGAAGGGTGGGGTGGGAGCTGGGCTGATCTGAGGCCCGGACCACTGTCACTGGCCCTCCCTGATGGCTTACCCCAGGGAGCTGGCCTCGGTGGCATTGCCCCAGAGCAGAGGTGGGTGGAGCTGATGCTGGAAGCCCTCACCTTGACAGCACCAGCTCCCCCCTCCAGTCGTAGCCCAACCTTGGGAGGCAGGAGAGGAGAGGTTCATGCACCCCAGGGAGGCCCAGGGGATCCGAGGGCTGGGCCAAGTTGGAGAACCTGCCGGGCAGCTGCCCACACCATGCCACACTGTGGAGTCAGGGCCGAGCCCACTCACACACTTCGGGATCACGCAGGCGCTGTGGATGCTGCAATTCCCCAGCCGAGGGGGAAGGAAAGGACCGGAATTTCAGCCACCACCCTCCCTGATGCTAGCCCCATATGCAGGCTGGGTATGAGTGAGGACAGAGAGCCCCCTCTGGGTTCCCTGCGCCCCACTCTACGCATCCAGGAGGCTGGACCTCCAGGCCTGGGAGGTCATGCGCCGAGGTTGGGCGGTGTGTTGGTATTTGCACGCACATGGGCTAATTTTTCTAAAAAGGCTGAAAATATTTACAGGTTTGAAGTTGAAATGCAAACAGGAAAAGCCCTTTAAAAAGTGAGTGTAGTGGATATTCAAAACAGGAATCACCATGGAAACACCACAATATTTGCTTAAATTGACACAAAGGTTGCTGGTAGCAGGGCACCAACTTTCTTTGGCCACATTTTTTTGGCCCAACACCTATCACAAATGAATCTCAGTAGCCCCCTTGCGGGTGTGTGCGTGCCTCCTCTTTTCTCTTTCACGGGATGAAATGGCACAGGACCAGCGTGGAGTGGGGAAAGGAAAAGAGAAGAAACCAAACTCACTATCCTAGGTAGCTGCTAAGACACCTGTTGATTCTGTTTTTAGAGACTCCCATAAGGCCACCGGGGGTCATGGGAGCGCTGGGAGCAGCCCGAGGGAAAGTCTGGCGGGAGAGGGAGGTTGGGGAGCCCAAGGGTTGGTTCAGTTGTGTGGGTCTGATATGGTTTCCAGTATTGGCCTGATCCATGGGCAGGCTGACCTTTCACCCGAGGTACCAAGCCTTGGGTGTGATCACTCTGTTGTTACCTGGGGTGGCACCTGATTGGCCTGTTGTTTCTACCTATTTGATTCTTTTATTAGGTACAACAACTACATAGCAATTGGCTAATAATTGTGCAAAGGGCACATTGGTTGTAGGGTCAAGCATGGCACACACCACAGCAGTGCCATCTGGTGATTGGCAGGCAGGGTCTGAGAATCTCTTACCTTGCTGGCTGGTTACTGTGCAGGTGTTGGAACCATACCCTCCAATGTCCTCCTCTCTGGAGTAGCTTTGTGGGTCTCAGTTGTAGTCTGGTAACGTGTTTTCGTTTCTCATTTTGGTAGACAGACAGACCTTGCTGACTGAAGGCAAAGACCCTCTCCACCCCACCTGCCCTTCCAGCTGTCACGGCCATCAACCCCTCCTGTAGAAGGAGGTCCTGCAGCTCCAGTGGTCTGCGTTGGAATGGACTTTGGACCCCGGCCTCTTGGGATGCAAAGGTAGCTGCTCCCGATTCCCAAGATATCACTAGGAAATGTGGCTAGGGTCTCTGGTTGGCCAGCTTGGGGGTTCCTCCTTAGGGGAAGGACTGCGTAGGCTGTTCTCACTGAGTTCTGACCTGGGTGGTGGTAGCTCAGGCACCCCAGGTGAAAGTGAGAAAAGAGCCCTGGCCTTGCAATGGGACACCTGTATACTGGCCATGGCTTCGCTGTTGACTCACTTTCTCCCCTCTGGATCTGTTTCCCCACCCGTAAAGTAAAGAGATTGCAAAACTGACCTTTAAGAATCCTCCCAGCATTACTATTGTATGACATTGAATGGTGCCAACAGCATACAGGTATTCCAGGTGAGGCCTGAGCCCTAGCAGACAGCACTCCTGGAGCTAAGCATCGGGTCATTTCTGAACATCATCTCTGGGAACGGTAGGTCCAGCCCATCAGCGTGTCCAGAGGCTGCTGCTCTGCTCTGAGCTCATGTGTGACTTCTTGGGGCTCTCTTGGTGGTCCTCCAGCCCAGGCAGAACCCTCCTTAAAGGAGAAGCCACAGGGTGTGTTGATCCAGGCTCAGAAATTGCCCCTGGCCATAAGGCAGGTCACTTTTGCCTGGGATTGGTAGTCTGTGGGGCTGGTACTGTCAGATATTTACCTGCAGGTATCAAACGAGGCAGTTCTTAGGGTGGGAGGTTGACACATAACAGGTAACTTACCACATATTGGTCATTGTTCAGTATTCTCTTAAGATCCTGAGGGAATCAGCCCAGTGAGGTTGGGTGTTCACAAAGTGGAGGGGCAAGGTCTTGGGGCAGGGGCTGAGGCTGAGGGCCTAGAGAACAGGTGGACCGGCAGGGCTGGGGGCCAGTCCTCCTGAGTGTGTCAGATGGGAGTCAGCAGCCCTGGCTCACTCACCTGCACTCTTCCTCCCCATGGGCACCATGGGCAGGTATGTCCTGCCTCTCCCTCCGTGGCCAGGCTTTGCAGCTCTGGACTTTGAACTTGCAGAGAGGAAGCACTTGCAGAAATGGGTGACTTGGTGCCCACTGGGGTTTGAGAGGTTCTCAAAGCTGCAGACTTACTTCATTTTGGGCCATGCCACCTTAGGGACTAGCAGAAGCCCTGAATCCAGCCCAAGGATTTGCAAATCAGATGTAAATGTGGCCTTGGTTTGCTGTGGCAGAGCAACCATGTGGCTGAGACTCTTCTTCCTGGTGTCCAGAATGCAATCACACTCCAGGAATTGGTCCAGCCACACTTAAGATGTGCTGCTGTTGTCCCTTGATGGCGGTGGGGCTGTGTAGACTGCTGGTTGTGCAGCCATCTTGTTGGGTTGGCACCAGCACCTGTACATGTCTACACCCTCCCGGGCTCTTCTTGCCTGACTCTGCTTCCTCGATGATCATGGGTCCTGGGCAGGCAGGCCCATACATCTTTGAGCCTCTGGATGGTCTCCCTGGCCCCGCCTGTGCCCTGTGCATGAGCAGGTTGCCAAAGTGCCTGCAGAGCTCCCTTTGAGGGGGGAACATTTGCCTCTTCTGTTCTCAGTGGCAGGCTTTTTGTTTTCTTCATTCCCTCGGCAAAACATACCCATTAGTTTTTCCCTTTTTGAACTCTCCATTCACTGTTGACTCCTAAGGGCCATGCTAGCTGGGATTTGCACCTGGCATAGGGTATGGGCTCCATGGGTCCTGTGGGACTCCCGCATCCTGGCATTGGCCGTTTTGGGCTTGATAATGAAGCTTGGGAACTCCGAGGGCTCCAAGTGGGAATGCCGTGGCTGAGCCCCTCCTTGCTCACCTAGCCCTTTCTAGGTACTGAGTTTGGCCACAGGCTGGGGTCTTCTGTGGCAGGGCTGATCCGTGGTCCCAGAGGTGTCCTGTCTTAGCACACCAGAGTGTGGACAACGGGGCAAGTCCGTGCTTGGGCCTTGTCTGCAGGCCTGATCCTGTCTGGCTCAGATTCTCCCCATTTCTGGCTATGCCGCAGAAGATCTGGTTATATTTATTCAGCAGTTACAGAGGGCCTAGTGTCTGCCAATCACAGAGTGGACAAGACAGCCCCGGCTCTCACGGAGTTCTGGTTGGGCAAGTGGACAATAAACAAACCCACAGAAAGGAACAAGGAAACCATTAGTGCAGAATGGACATAGGATGAGGAGGTGGGAAGTGGCTGGACAGTCAGAGGAGGCCTCTTTGAGGAGGTGACGGTTAGCTGAGATCGAAAGAAAGGAAGTAGACAGCTATCTGAAGAGCTGTCAGAAGAATACTCCACAAAGAGAGAACAGCTAGTTTAGAGGTGCTGAGGTGGGATAAGCTCAGTACATTTGGTGAACAGAAAGAAGGTCCCAGTGGCTGGAAGGTGGACAGGGCGGGGGCTAGGGTATGTAGGGGAAGTTGGGATTATATTTTTTGGGTGACAGGAAGCCGCTGGAAGATTTTAAGCAGGAAGGTAAAGTCATCTGATTTGTGTTTTAAAAAGATGGAGTGAGAGGCTATGGCTGAGATGAGGTGGTGGAAATGGAGAGAAAGGAGCAGAGTCCGTGTGTTAAGAGGGTGAGTGAATTGAAGGGGCAAAGACCCCTGATGTGTGGCCCTGCGTCTTCTCCTCCCTCTTGTGCCCCTAGCCCAACAGTGCCAGGAACGATCTGTGGCTTTCTGAGGCTAACGTCTTGTGGATTAGCAGAGAAGCACCATCCTGGTTGCTAAGAAAGCTCGTTTGAGGGGGTTGGGCACCTCTTGGTCATCACCACGTGGAGGGAAGGTCAGAGGCCTGCTCGTCTCCAGCACTGTTTCCAGTAGGGACTTCTGAGCTCACTATCCTTTTGGCCCTAAGATTCTGCACCGAAGCCTGTTTTGTGCCTTTGCTCCATGGGGTCTATGCTGGGTCTGAGGGTGGGCCTAGAACCTCATATAGTTCCTATCTCTGTGACTTTAAATATGAAGTGTGTTCTCAGGGGCTGAGCTTCTGTGCATCTTCCCCTGTGCGCCCCAATACACACAACCCCAGTTGATTAGTTTTGAGGGCTGAAAAATGGGTTTGTCTAAGACCTCCTCATTTCCACGGGGCCAGATTAGCCTCCATCCCAGCTCATGGGCAGAGATCCTAGTAGCCTTTCCACGTGGAAAGTCTTTCCATGATTCACAGTGTGAATTGCCACAGGTACCCTGTCGGATTTTACCTGGGCCACTGTCACTTTTTCCAGAGCCTCTGACACAAGGCTCCGTTTTCCTGGGTCCTGGTATCATCTGCTTGGGCCGGGACGGGACAGGCAATCCCAGCAACAATACTGTAACAGCGAAGCGATCCCTGAGCCCCCTGGGCAGCGCTGTGCAACCCAAATAGCAAGCCAGAGGCCTGGCTGGAGCGAGCGTGAAGCTGTCACAGCTGGCTGCGGGGCCCCAGTGAGTACTTACCCGTGCTGGCAACATATTCCCAGCCATATGGGCCAACTCAGCCCTCCAGGGAAGCTCAGGAGGCCTGACCTCCAAGGGGAGTGACAGGAGGGAGCAGAAGGGCAGGCTGGCGACATCTTGCAGGAGGTGGCAGGGAAGTCCCAAGCGTGCAGCTGGTGCCTCTGCCTGGCTCTGAGGGGATGTCAGCCAGTCTTCCTGGGTGTGTCTGCTGGCATCAAACACTGGGCTGAGCCCTGGGGGTGGGCGTATCTGGGTGGGCAGGTGTGTGTGTCTGCGCATGCATGGGTGGCTCTTCTGCTTTCTGCCCCAATGGCCTGCACTAGATCCATGGCCTTCACTCATACTGGACTGGACAGTTCTAACTCCATCCTCCAGGGCTTTGATTTGATGTGGGGCTGGCCCCTCCAGAGCGCACAGCTGGGGTCAGGGTATGAAGGGGCGGGATCAGGAGAGGGAGGTACTAGCTGAGGGGAGTGGGGGCCCAAGTCCTCTGCCACCCCTGGGTGACGCTGTGCTTGCGAGGATGAATGGACTCCAAGGTCACAGCCCCTTTGGGCTGGGCAGAGATGTGGCAGGGAGATGGTTTGGAGTTACTGATCTTTCTGGTTTCTAATCTGTGTGAAAATTCTGCCTGATGTTGCTGACCACCCCGGGCCTCCTTCCTCAGTTCTGCCTCATGCCTCCTGCCTTCCTAGCAGAGTGGGGAAGCCCCTGGATTTGACCAGGTTCAGACCCAAGGGGAGAGGGATTGGGAAGGGCTGGAAGCACCAGCCCTGCCTGGAGCTACCAAGGGACCTCTCCTCATTTGGTGACATGGTTGCTCCAAAGGGGACAGTGGCCCATGGCTTTGGGGGGGTTAACGTCTTTTGGATGAGGGGAGAAGCACTTCTGCCTTGCCTCTGTCCCCATGACCTTGGAGCCTCCACGGGGAGAACATGCTGGTGTTGGAGAAGCGGCGTCAGGTTTCGCACGTGTGGCTGTGACTGTGTCGTCTTCCCTTGCAGATCTTCAGGCTACGCCTGTTCTGTCATTTCCAGCTTCCTCTGGCCTCTTTTATTCTAGAATCAGCCTAGGTATAAACCTGGTCCAGGTGAACATCTTTTAGCTCAGGGGACACCACACCGAGGCATGAGGCAGTGAGTGGGGAGACCCTTGTAACTCCACCTTCAGCGGAACCCTTGGAAGGCCGCCCCCCTGGGCCGCCCCACACCGCTAGCTGCTTGTTCTCTGTTAAATCAGCTCTGGGTGTCTTCCTCACCTTCACTCACCACCCAAGTTTTCTTTCTGGTTTGGTTTCTTGGCCCCTTGGGAGCAGGAGCCTTTCCTGACCCTGAGCCTTATGGTAGCCTGGGGTTGGGACCCCTGTGGCCAGGGCATGTGAGAGAAGGGAACGTGTAATTAATCACTAGTTTCTCCTCCAGAAATGCTAATCGGGAAAAGCAATTAAAAGCAACTTTTTTCCCTTAGTAATCTGTGTTAAGAGCTGGTAATGAAGTTTAGGGCCGTTGTGACTCAATATTTCAGCTTCACCGACTCAAGTCAAAACAATCCAAACCCAGGAGTTTGCCAGCAGCTGAGCTGGGCCTGGGCAGC